AGAGAGAGAGGAAGGAAGGAAGGGAGGGAGGGAGGGAAGAAGGGGGGGGGACAAAATTAATGATATTGAAAGGAATAAAAACAAGACAAAAAGAAAAAAAAAATTAGTGGCCTTAAAAGACACTTTAGACCAGATGGACTTAATTGATATTTTTAGCACATTTCACCCAAAAGCAGCAGAATATACATTATTTCAAGTGTACACTGAACATTTTCCACAACAGACCACATGTTGGGCCACAAAATAAATCTCAATAAATTTAAGAAGACTGAAATCATATCAGGCATCTTTTCTGATCACAATAAACTAGAAATCAATTGCAAGAAGAAAACTGGAAACACACACAAACCCATGGAGGCTAAATAACATGGCACTAAACAATAAATGGGTTAACAAGATCAAGGAAGAAATCAAAAGAAACCTTGAGACAAAAAAAAATGAAAAAACAAAAAAATGTCCCAAATCTATGGGACACAGCAAAAGCAGTTCCAAAAGGGAAATTCATAGCAATAAAGGCCTACTTCAAGAAACAAGAAAAATCTCAAACAAGCTACCCTTATACCAAAAGGAACTAAGAAAAGTAAGTAAGGAAATAATAAAGATCTGAGAGGAAATAAATGAAATAGAGTGTAAAAGAAAAAAAGAAAAGAAATGCCCTGTCAGGACACATGCATAGGTTGCAAGTTTGATCCCCAGTACAGGGAGGGCATGCAGGAAGCAGCCAATCAATGTTTCTCTCTCATTAATGGTTCTTTCTCTCTCTCCCTCTCCCTTTCTTCAAAAAAAAAGTCAATAAAAACATATTTAAAAAAAGAGAAAGATAAATATAACAGAAAAACCTTCAGCCAGAGTCATCAAGAATAAAAGAGGAAAATTGGAAAGCCACATGCAAAAGAATGCAACTGGACTTCAGTTTGTCCCCATGAACAAAAACTAACTCAAAATGGATCTAAGATTTAAATATAAGATCTAAAACAATAAATTACATAGAAAAAAAACATAGGTACTAAACTGATGGACTTGGTCTTGGAGAAGATTTTATGAATTTGATCCCAAAGGCAAAAATAAATGAAAGGGCACAACCCAAGGACACGGATAATGATGGGGAGAGGGACTGGGGAGGGGGATGGGACGGGGTGGAACAGGTCATTGGGGGAGAAAAAGGGACATCTATAATATTTTAAACAAAAATAAAATTTAAAAATATAAAATAAATAAATGAATGAATGAATGGAACTGTATCACACTAAAAAGTTTCTGCACAACAAAAGAAACAGCCAACAAAAACAAAAAGGCAACCAACTGAATGGGAGAAGACATTTGCAAACAACAGCTCTGACAAGGAGTTAGTATCCAAAATATATAAACAACTCAACACCAAACAAGTGAGCAATCCAATTAAAAAATGGACAAGGACCTGAACAGACATTTTTCTCAGTAAGACATAAAAACAGCCAATAGACATATAAAAAGATGCTCAACTTCATTAGCTATTAGGAAAATGCAAATCAAAACTAAAATGAGATATCAACTCACGCCTGTTAGAATGGGTATTATCAACAAGACAAGTAATGACAAGTGTTGGAAAGGTTGTGGAGAAAAAGGAACCCTCATTCAATGGGGTAGTGGGAATGTAGACTAGTACCGTCACTATGGAAAACAGTCTGGCAGTTCCTCAAAAAATTAAGAATAGAGTTACCATATGACCCAGAAATTCCTCTTCTGGGTATCCGAAAAATTTGAAAACATTTATTTGCAAAGATATATGCACCCCTATGTTCATTAGGCATTACTGATGGTGGCCAAGACATGGAAACAACTAAAGTGTCATACACAGATGAATGGATAAAGAAGATGTGTTACATATATATAATGGAACACTACTCAGCCAAAAGAAAGTATGAAATACTGCCACTGGCAACAACATGGATGGATCTTGAGAATATGCTAAGTGAAATAAGTCAGTCAGAAAAAGAACCATATGAGTTCACAAATATGTGGGATATAAAAACTGAAATTAACAACTGAACAAATAAGAAAAATAAACAAAAACTCATATACACAGACAACAGTATGGTGGTTACCAGAGCGGAAGCGGGGTGGAGGGATAGTAAAAGGTAAAGCGGCCCAAACATGTGATGACAGAAGATAATTTGACTTTGGATGGTGGGCATACAATACAATGCAATATACAGATCATGTATCACGTATCACAGAAATATACACTTGAAAATTATTAATCTTACTGAGCAATGCCACCCCAATAAATTTAATTAACAGAAAAAAGGAAAAGAGAGGATCCAAATAAAATAAAAAGTGAAAGATAAGTGACACCCAGCACCACAAAAATACAAAGGATTATAAGGAAATAGTACAAACAATTACATGCCAACAAACTGGACAACCTGGAAGAAATGGATAAATTCTTAGAAACACACAATCTTCAAACGCTGAGTCAAGAAGAACCAGAAAATGTGAACAGAGCAACTAACGGAATTGAATCAGTAATCAAAAAACTCCCAATAAACAAAAGCACTAGACCAGATGGCTTCACAGGTGAATTTTACCAAACATTCAAAGAATTAATACCCATCCTTCTCAAACTATTCCAAGAAATTGGAGAGGAAAGAAGGCTCCCAAGCTCATTTTATAAAGCCAGCATTATCTTGATACCCAAACCAGACAAAGACATTACAAAAAAAAATTATACACAGATACAAAAATCCTGAATAAAATATTAGCAAACTGAATTCAGCAATACATTAAAAAGATTATACACCATGATCAATGGGGATTTATTCCCAAGATGGAAGGCTGGTTCAATATCCACAAATCATTTAACATGATATACCACATAAACAAAATAAAGGATAAAAATCACATGATCATATCAATAAATTCAGAAAAATAATTTGGCAAAATCCAGGACTCGTTTATGATAAAAACTCTTAGCAAAGTGGGAACAGAGGGAACATACCTCAACATACTAAAGGCCATATATGGCTAACCCATGGACACCATCATACTTGATAGGCAAAAACTAAAAGCGTTTCCCTCTTAAGTCCGCTTTCACCACTCATATTCAACATGGTACTAGAAGTCCCAGCCACAACAATCAAACAAAAAGAATAAATAAAAGACATCCAAATTGGCAAGGAAGAAGCAAAACTCATTATTTGCAGATGATGTATCTTCATCAGGTACTCAGTGTCACCCTATACTCTCAGACCTAGTGTACTGCCCACATTTCTATGTCTTTGAAGTTGGTACTAGAAATCATCAATCCCCCAAACACCTCCTTATGCTGGTTCCTGTGGTGCCTCTGGGATGACCACAATCATATGTCATCATTTCTTATTTTTAGCTCCTTACACCATTCACAAGACAACGTAGGTTCTCAAAAACATGAGTCCTTTTTTTTTAATCCTCACCCGAGGATATCCTTTCCATTGCTTTTCAGAGAGAGTGGGAGGGAGGAAGAGAGAAACATCGATGTGAGAGCCACACTGACTGGTTGCCTCCCACACGCACCCCAACTGGGGCCAGGGATCCAGCGTGCAACCAAGGTACATGCCCTTGGCTGGAATCGAACCCAGGACCCTCTAGTCTGCAGGCTGACACTCTAACCACTGAGCTAAACCAGCTAGGACCATACTGAGTCCTTTTCAATTTAACTTACACTATCATACAGAGTCATACCAGAGGTACTAAACTCCAGGATGACTTGGTTTCTGAGGCCCTCCAGAGTCAGTGCATTCATGCAGAATGCTTGCTACAAACTAAACTATTCCTCTGAAAGCCGTATTTATTGAAGTTTTTCCATATACCATGTTTTTCATGGATATTTTGACAATAAATAAGTGATGTACATTAGCAGTATTACTTTTAAGCCAGATTTTAGAATTTTAGATTAACAATTTATTGACTAGCATATACAAAACCTGTACTGTACTAGAAAGAAGTTATAAAGGAAAATAAAAGGTTGGTATCTTCACAGATTATATAGTCTCAGAATTTTGTTAAAAATATTAATAGCTACCGTTTATTGAGCACTTACTATATGCCAGGTGCTTTTCCTACCACAAGCTTCTCAAATGCCTTGCAAAATAGATAATTCCATTTTACAAAAGAGAAGTCTGGGACTAAGAGTTATACAGTAAATGACTGAACTGGCATTTGAACCCAAGTGTCTCTGTGACTAAAATGCTCCATAGTGTTTTCTCTGATATACACTGACTACCAGGCCTACTCAACCACAGGCCATCTAAGCTCACCCACCACATCCATTCTCATCATTCAGCATGCCAACCACATAGGAGCCCTGTATTGGTTAGAATAATGAAAAACCAAACACCAGATTTACACTCAGTACACTGTTGTTTGAAACTAAACCTAGACAAAGTCAGACTGAGAACCCTTTTAATAAAACCTCTATGTATGTGTCTTTCTCCTTCACCAGGAAGGAACCAGAAGTTTAATGAAAAAAATTATTTTCAAGTGTGCTACATTTAATATGAAAAACTCAGAGTAAGATTCCATGACATAACCTTCTAGATCTCATACATTTAGTGGTGACCAACTGACAAATGAAGCAGAAAAATGAGCCAGCATACAGACAACTTAAGCAGAATTGGCTAACTGTATGATATTTTTGCAAAATCAGGGATTCTGTCAGTAGGATACAATCATTTCATTTCCCTTATTTGCTGCATGCACTTTGATAATACAGACCATACTTTAGAGTATTTTCTTACATGGGGTAGACCCAAGAGGGCAAGTTACACCAATCCTGTCAGTCAAAATGGATGCTCTCAGTTCACCTATCTTGTTTCAATTTCCATCAACTACTGTATCTGTGAAGTAAGTCCCAAAGGAGGCCCTGCAGCAGTATGTGAAGAACCAAAGGTATGGTACTTACCACATCAGAGTTGAGATGAGAAGACCAACGCCCACACAATCTATGAATACAACCCAAAGGAGAAGCTTTATCATCTTAAAAAATCCCATGTCCAGCACAAAGCCAAATCCTACAGTGGACACTGAAAGAAAGATTTACAAGATTTGTTCAGGCACTTTGCAAGGTTCTGGGGATATTGGGGACAGTCTCTCCCTCCAGATCCCCTCAGTCCAATGGGGGAGAGGCATGTAAACAACACTCCCAAGATCTATTCTATGTGATTAAGAAATGCACACTAACTTGGAACACAGAAGGGCCACTGAGATATCTCAAGATTACCAAGGAGGCCCCTGTCTGTCTGTGGTTCACTAGGGTGGCCCAGCTTTTCAATTAAAGGTAAAAATCTGCACACTTCAACACCCTAAAGGCTTTTGCTATATACTACTGGAGAACTTGAAAGTAGTTTTTCTCAAGTTCCTATCAGTACTTTTAGAACTCTCCCTCTGGATTTCCCTGATTATGAAAAGCAATTTCCAATCTTTACATTCCTTTTCACAGTAAGTTTGCATTTGGGTATCGATGTATTTATCACAGTAATTACAAGACATGGGGTGACTCTGTCCCTCTGCTTTTTAATGTTCCAAGGTAACAGTTTACTCTGGCAACTGCTCGGGCCGTTTAGAACCAGGAAGAATACAGCCTTCTTTCCTGTGAGATTTGTGAGGCTTCAGAAAAGAGGAACAGCTTTAAACATCCCCAAATTCTGACCCACAACAGTTTATAACAAGAGTCCCCAAATGACAAATCCAATCAAACAATTTGTTTTTCAACTACTGCAGATCAACTAACACTTACCACACAGCCAGATACTTAATAGGACCAAAAAAGCTGGGTCATCTCTAGCCCACTGATCCTTTGTCTGCTTTCGATAATGAAAGTTTCTATAAACCCTCTGCGGGGAAGTGAACAGGTAGAGCATCTGCCAGGCAGCAAACTCAAAGTCCATTTGCCGAAAACGAAAAAGCCTTCTCAGGTATTTGTAGCGCTTTGCTCCCGCCGTGTGTCTTGCTGCATCCCTGGAATTCAACGCTCCATTCCCCTGCAGTGGGGAACTCACTGAAGTACTTGGTAACATCTTCCTATGGGGGGGAAAAAGTCTTTTACTAGTAATATAAAGAAAGTGTTGGCTACCAGAACTCCTTTCCATATAGGAAGGAGGTCACCTGACATTTCCGCCCCATTCCTTGAGAAAAGTCAGTGGTGACAGTGGTCAAGGGCAGCACCACACCATTAACACCTATACAGGGACCATACATCAATCCTCAGACAGTCCTGACAAAGAGAGACAAAGACAGACTGATTGACTCAAATTTGAATAAGAGAGAGAGAGACTCAAATTCAAATTCCGCCTCTCAATCCCGTGCTCTTAAGCACCAAGCCTTTAAGAAGTAAACGACCTAATCACACCGGTGGTCCATCAAAGCATTCCCAGCAGGCAACTCGCTCACTAGAAGGTGATATAAAAATAAAGCAAAACTAAAATTCAGTGTTTTGCTCCATGACTAGGTCAGCAGGGGAAACGACACCGTGGGAGACCGGTCGAACCACTCCGAAACCAGGTGAGCGCAGTCACCGCCCGGCCCCCACGCCCCGGCGGCCGGGTCTC